TGGCTTGGGAGCAACCTTTGTTGAATCCATTTTTGTGTGTCGATATTTAATGCTTCTTTAATCCGAAACTGTTGGTCGTTTTCTTTGACTCGTGCAATTGACTCTTGAGACTCTTTATACCTTTTCTATTCATCGAGTAAAAGACTTGTGTCCAAGTGTATGGTTTACTCCTTTTTGATGGTTACATTTTTATTGTGTTTGAAGCTAGTTTGCTATTCTAGAGCTTATTTGTGACTTTTATTGATATCTCTCCAATATTAAGACACCGTTGAATTCGTATGTTGGCACTTGATATTTTGTGATTGAGAATATTGCTACTTGATATATATATATATATATATATATATATATATATAGAGAGAGAGAGAGAGAGAGAGAGAGAGAAGTTGAAATACTATTTTCATATCAAGAATGAGTCGTTTTCGTACCCTTTATTGATTCATTTCATTGTCATTCTATAGGGAAATATTCAAATTCTCTATCTGCAGGAAGCATGACCATAACAATGAGGATTTCACTGTTTTGGAACAATAAAATAAGAGCTAGAGTTGATTTATAAAAACTATAGCTGTTTCACAGATAAAAGTATTCAACACATTCTCAGAGGACAAGGGAGTGAGGAGTGGTTTATAATAGAGTGGACAAATTGAAAACAAAATAATAGTTGTGCCAGCGCAAGCAGCTTGAAATCAACAAAAAAGATAAACAACAAACACTCCAAAATTGAAAATGGTGGTCAAACGAATTGGAATTGAAAGTTGCTAATCATCCCAATCCATAGATTTTCAGTCCTACAAGAATACCCAATAACCAAAATGACACTGAAAAAGGGCTACATTGATCTTAAAGTCAACTCTCATTGACCAACTTATGATGGAAGATGTGACACTAGTATCCAAAGAACTGAAAGCATTTCGAGAAAGAGAGCAGAATATAATAAGAAGAATGACGAAGTATAGAAGACTCTATACAAAAAATTGAATTTAGTAAACTCAAATTATCAACCATTTCACTCAATAAAGAATGGTTACGACGAAAGAAACTGAACAAAATTCAATAAACTAATGAAACCAGTATAGATTTTAAGAAATATTAGACAAACACTATTTCCCTGGATTTCAAGAAAGAGTTCCTGAAAACTTTGCCAATGCGATGTTGTGATCAGCTTGATAAGCTTTTGCTCTCCTTTTTGGATTCAAAGAAGCTTATGACTTTGCATTGACTTTGGAGCATCAAATGTCTAAGTATTACAAAATATGGTCAAATGAAAGCAAGGTAGAAAAACTTTGAAAAAGCAGAATGCCAAGTATTGTCTCCATCCATAGGTATTCAATAGATGAATGAACTATTACCATTTTAAAAGATATTGTTTGAAACGTATCCATATGTCCAAGGAACAAATTGCCTTTTTGCTTGAGAATTATTTCCACTTTTACATTGTCAGCAATTGTTCTTTGGCATTGATGGAATTGTTGCTTTTCGTCTTTTATGTATCGACCCTTGTTATTGTTGTTTATTGATTTTGAAATAGAATATCCAAGTCTTTTTTCAAAAAAAAATATTCCTATGTTATCAGCCATGGAATGCTTTTCAATATTCCATAGTGATTTCGGATATTTCAATCTTTCTTTCCACACAATATAATTGTATGTTTATTTGAGTCAACGATGTTCTTACTCTTTTGTTGTTTCGTAAAGGTCTTCATTTCAAATATCTTCAACTGATTCATCTCTTTCACAAACTAGTTGCATCATACGAGTTTCTCAAAAAAGGTACTTTTCTCATATTCCTTTGGTTTCCTACGCAACAATTTCTTGGTGATACAAATGAACTTTCCAATCTTACTCACATTTCTCTCTTTTTCAACTGCTTTAAGACTCATAGGAAACAAATTTTCGTATCGAAGGATGACTTGCAATAGTAGTTCCACAACATAGCTGATGATTGAAAAGGGTATGATTCTACTTTTCATCCAATGAGTGAATCAATCAGCAACTTGCCTATTTTCTAGAGTTTTGTTATATTCCCTCAGACAATTCACTACAAGAGAATAATCTAGAGAGCTGCTATCTTTCTTTCTTCTTGAATATTGTTTCGTGGCAAGTAGATTCAAATCAGCAAATGAAGCCCAATCCATTTCTAAGAGTTTTCAATTCAGTGTTCTGAAGTAGCTCACAACGCTTCCTTAAAAAGATAATCTTGAGTTATGTCAATCATTGGTCGACATTTTGATTTATGAAAGGGACATAAAATCTTACAATAGCCTATTCACCATCTTTATTGGATTCGTCACAAGACACTGTGTTTTCATTCAAAAAATACAAAGAAAGTATCTTCTTAAAGGTCCCTTTTTTCTATAAGATGATTTCATAAACTGCGATGATAACTTTTTTTGAGAAAAGAGTGGGACGTACAATGTATCTCTTACCAAGTTGAGTAGAATAGGAAAACGACATATAGCATGTATAGTGCTTTTCTCTTTTTTTCCTGTCTTGTAAAATCCTCGAGTTGATCAACAATGACGTAAATCAGCAATTTTCTATCACCTGGAATTGATCATAATCCATCATTCCGTTGTCTTCAAAAGAAATCCAACAATGATACCACCTTGCGTTGAAATCAAAGCATATAAACATAGATATTTTCTACAAGTACTTGATTCTTTTTACAACAGAGATCACTGAATCTGTTTTCTCTCATATCACAACAATGGCTTTTTGGATGATGGATTTCCCAACTGGGATAAAATGTTTATTCCGCTGAATATTGCTTGCGAGTTGACGTTATTTTTTATTCTTTGTAGAGCAAGTTGGATAAAGTCGTTTCTCTTTTTTCTCATGTTTTTTGACTAGTTCCTAGTGGAAATGAACGTTTCTTGTATTTGTAGACCTGTTTGTTTATACAAAACGTTGAGTTGTCCTTGAGTCTTGTATTACAAATATCCAAAAGAAACCTCCACCAGTGTACCTATCAGATAATATTTTGTAAAAGTATTCTGTCTAACGCGAGGAAGCTTTGTAGTGATTCACTTATTGAACAAGCTGATGGATGAGAATGGAAGAAGAGTAGGAGTTAACTGGAGCTGAACAAATCTTTCCTTGAATTTGCAGAGCTTTTAAAAGTTTTCCGTTCTTTTTCGTATTTGAAGAAATAATAGCCTCTCTTGGGTTTTCTAATTCCTAAAGCAGTGTTGTACTTTTTTAGCCAACTATTGAGGAGAGAGAATTCAACAATGATTCAAAAGCTATGCAAGTAGAAGATATGAGAAGAGAATCAATAGGATACACTCCATTCAACTGCATTGTATTTTTTGAAAGTATGTTTTCTCTTGACAGAATCCACAATATCAAATGTCACTATTAGTCCGCGAGTATTTTCAGAGAAAGAGACAGTAGTTATTGAGTCTACTATGTTATAGAAATTGGGTATTGATAATGCACTTGTGTGTAAGTCAATGTTGTTTCTGATATGAGAAGTCAAAAGAGAAAGAAACAAGAGTTATGGACTCTGATAAAACAACGAGATATTGATGATGCACTTGTGTGAACCATTGTTGGGTCTGACATTTGATATAAACAACTGAGATAGCTTGAATCATAAACTGCATACTTGTCGTGATATCGTAAGAAAGGAATTTGATGATTGCTGAGAATAAAGCAGTGCTGTGCTTGCGGGTTTCTGCATTTCTACTAAATAATAATATTTCAACTGGAGCTTTTGAATAGACTGTACAAGAGAATGACTTGGTTCATACTCTAGTTCCGTGTTTCGAAATGAAGCAAAAGTGACGTAAAAACTATTCCATAAAATACAGAAAATCTAGAGAGACGTCTATGGAACAAATTCTTCATGAACAATCTATATTGCTCGGAACTCTCATGACTACTCTCGAAAATTCTGAAAGAAACTTTCTTATCTATGTGAGAATGGGCCATGTTCAATAGCTTTATACTCTCAAAGAGCATAAAAAACTTGTGAAATAAACATTGGCTTCCTTCCAATACTTCTTGTACCCTATGAGAGTTACCATTATATTAGCATACGAGAATAAGAATATTGACAGTTGAAAAAGCCATATTGATCGTTCTTCTATAGTTCAAGTCATCTCAGTCCAAGCCCTAAAAGGTATGACATAGTCATCAGTTGATACAGAAAACAAGTTGGGTTGGTATCCTTTACTGTTTTCGTTGTTGTTGGTATGAATGGCAAACAGTCAATCATTTATTTATTTATATTTATACTCAAAAATAAACCACAGGTTATTCAATTTTATTTTGGCGATGGCGAGCTTGGATGAAAAGTGGAAAGCTGTGGACAACTTTAAGTCTGTTGTGGTAGATCGTGAAAGAGATGTTGTTCGAGTGACAAAAGAACTGTATGATCTTCATAGCAACAGAGAACAACTCAGGGTTGTAACAAGTAGTAACAACTATCGCTTGACCATACCATTCGCTCCGCACATGTTCGGTTCTGGCAAGACCACGTTTTATGTAACCTATTTGGAGTTGGTGCGATGGTTTAGTGAAACTTCCCTGTCGACTTTTGCTTGGAACCCTTTGAGGAGAACCTTTCTGGAGAAGCTGAAAAGGGCTTCGTTGCTTTACATCGACCTAAGGCTGCTAAAGCCCACTCTCCCCACCGAAGAAAAACGCAACCTTGAGTGGGCAGTCTACTATTTGTTAATAAAGGTTGCTTGTCTGCAGTCAGGTCTTCCGCAACCAGACCCGGACGAATGTTTCAAGGAACTGAAACTTAGGACTGATGCTGTGGTTCAGAAATTCCGTTCAATCTTAAACATTCCTTCGGATCAATATCTTCTTATAGCATTTGACGAAGTTGGTGTCCTAGACGAAAGTCTCGACGAATTTCATTTCAAGAGAACCCACGACGGCAGAGTTCGACCTTACAACGACTTTTTCGGTATCATTAGTCAATTGTGCGAAGAACCCGACTTGTTTTTTATAGTTGTTGGGAAAAGTGAAGGCTTAAATATATACAATTACGTAGCTTCAGTCTCAAGGGTTCAGTTAGTATTTATTCCTCTTTCGCCGCTTGAGAAACATAGTATCGTGGAACATTTGGAGAAAAGTTCTTCCTTTTTATTCACTGGGAGCCCAAAGGTTTCAGAAATTCTTTGTCACGAAGACTTCTCAACTAGTGAACTTGCAGAATTGTTGTTGGAATTGACTGGTGGTGTTCCTGGTTTACTTGTTCGAGCAATCAGTTACCTTTTGCTGTATAAATCATCCAACAACAATTTCTTATTATCTAAGGAAACCTTCTTGATCATAATGAATAGCTTTCTAGTAACAAATTATTGTGTTGCGCCATTCTTACCTCGTCTGATAAGTCTCAGTGAGCAGCGTAAGCGCTTGTTAAGAATGCTTACGTTATTATCTTTGTATCGTATTCGATTTGATTTTGATGAAACTGTGCAAATAAGCTCCAATTCTGATGTGTTTTTGTTTGACCTAGTTACAGATATGTATCTCTATCGTCGATTGGTTATAGAACCAGACCGCAACGAACGCTATGAAGTATTGATTCCCAAGTTACTGATTGAATATATTGACCAAGGCTTAAAGGATGATCGTTTAGAATGGTTACTTTTACAAACCCTCAAGTCTCAATCTGTTGAATTCTTTTATGAGTCGAAATGTCGAATTTTGGAAGGTCTTATTGCTACACTGTTTTATTTACACTTTTCTCGGCGTCCTACAAACAGCTCAATGTTTTCTACTCTTGGTCAATTGTCTCATGTTTGGAATGAAATGAATTTACAATTTTCTTCCGAATCTGCTGCTTATTATATGAAATCTATACATAATACCAGAACTGTATTAGGAACAGAGAGAATGACATTTGGAAGCAATGATGAATGGGAAAGGATAGTGGAAGAAATGTTAGAACTTGAAAAGATATATATTCCATTTCATTCAACATTCCATAGTCCAGATATATTATTCAAGTTGCATGGAAGAACGAATGAGAAGAACTTGATGATTGTGGGTATTGCTTGTAAAGGCCGATGGAGTCGTAATGAACTA